CTATAAGACAACCGATTAGCAAATAAAGTGTTTGAGAGCATGTGATCATGTGTGTAACATTGCATGTACTTTGGAACAACCTCTACTTTCTAGCTGTGAAAGTCTTTATTTAAATGTAATAACCTTGCCACTGGCTTGCTGGTAAGCCTCTTTGATCTGCTGTCTCTGGTCGTTACTCCTTTTCACCAGGATTTCAATTATGGTGTTCTCATCCACACCTGCACAAAGAATATGTTGCGAAGTAAAATCACCAGTTATATTATTCTGCATGACAGATAGATATGAAAGTAGGTGGAGACTTTAGTTTGCACTAATTGATTAAAATAAACTTAGACATTACACTGAGTAATGGTGCATGATGGCCAGCAGGGGATGTTAAAGTTCTTACATTAGAGGGCAGTATGTTGTACTTGTAGCACAGACACATTTTCCAAAGCAGACACATGTTGACACACTCCAAAGCTTCCCTGTGTGCACATTAAGTTCACCTTTTGCCTGGATGGCTTCATCCAAGACTGCTGCATCTCCACTGGGGCTGAAATTGGGTGATGCAGTCACCGTTCCCTCCTGGACCTGAAAGACACAAACACAGATTATTGTGAGTTTGGTAAATACTTCTACTACCAAGTGGTGTGCATGAGGTAGTTTTCAAACTTGCAACAAAGGAATTAGAAAAATGCATAAGTATTCTTTAAAAATAGGTAAAATCACATTTCTCTCCCCTTACACATTGCTGCAGCCATCTTCCACATAAGACATACAAAGGATATACAACATCATTTTGACAGGTTTTATAACCCCTGTGGCACTTGCTGTATAGCCTCTGCCCCTACATTGCCATGCCACCAAAGACCATGACAGTGCCTCTTGAAATTATTCTTTTTCCAACCACCAGGAAGATAAACAAAAACAGGGCTATTTGACTGAGCAACCGGAACAGAACCACAGAATTACATACCGAGTCATCGGGCATGCATGTCTGCTGCAGCAAGGCTTGGATGACAGACATAGTGAGATCACTGGAGTCTGAGAAGAAAAGATTTGATGAAACAAAGTCCACTGATCATATTCAGTCCACTGAAAGTATTCAAAGAAGAAATTACCCTTATTGATTTTACTGGTAAAGTTCTCATCTATTAAACTTGTTAGCAGAGATAACTCATGTTCGTATTTCCTTCATCCAACCACACCCTCATAGGTCGCCTCATTATATTTAAGGAGAGGATTTAAAGGCATCACATCTGGTACTAAACTTCAGCAAACTCAAAATAAAAGCTGGAGAACAGATTTCAGATTATTTATTTTTTCTTTTTTTCTTTTTTTTTTTTTTAAATCGAAGGAAAATGTCTTACCGTGTGTCCTTAGAGGGAAGAAGTTTGTCTTACTGAGGTTCCACGGGCATTGTAGCGACAGGAAGCGTTTATTTATACTCATGATAAACCACACCTATAACGGGTCCAGCCCATACTCCCCTCCACAGCTGCCATTGGATTGAAGCTCCTGGCTCCCTCCTGATTGCATTCATTCAACTCACCTGCCCAGTCAACCCAGCTGCCTTCCATCTACTCATCACACAACAGTATATCAACTCCAGTTCCACATCCACATTCTGCCAGATCATTGTTGTTTCAACCTCCTCGGTACTGTTTGTTCTCGGCCACTCAGCGGAATTGTATTCCGAGTTATCTTTCCCTTGTTCTCGCCTTTGTCTTCCTGTGTCTACAGTTTGGATCACCCTCCCGGTTCCTCAGTCTGTCTGCCCTGCCTTGTCCTGCCCGGTTCTCACCCTCGCCCTCTCGTCCTTGGATTTCTCTGTATTCCCTGGTCATGTCTGCTTTTGGGTCCGCCACCACATCCCGTGACACGTTAAGTCTTTATTGCTGGAATGCAGAGGGTCCTTGGCGTAAGGGAAAGTTTGGTTTTATTGCTGTTTCATTTGCCAGAAGACAGAATTACATTCCTGCTGTTATCTCTCTTGCAAAAGTGTTAGCCTATCAGAAGGTTACTTTGAACCTCATCAAATCAATACAAGCCCCACTGTGTGTTGATCTTTATCGCTGGGCACATCAGCTTGACAATACCTGCAGGAGTGACTGAGCAAAGACCACCTTAACATTTCTCAAGAAAAGTCTGCCTTTGGTTCAATTAGGTAATGAGTTTCTTTAATTAAGGTGTGGCATGTTATCATGGCAGCACATCAGGGCCTGGCGCTACCTGCTCACTACGTGCCTCGGCAGAAGGTAATGCGTTCATGCTCCTGAGATTATCAATCAGGATAATGATACATCTGATTGATGACTGCATCACTTGAGCCCAGTCAAACTTTATCATTACGGGAGAGTCTAAATAATCAAGACGACACAGGCCCTTGATGACATCCAAAAAAGCTCCTCTCTGTGCTGAAAGACGTCCTCTTTTTTTGATACAACCAGTACATGCGTGTTGATTAGTTATGTTGAAGTTGCCATGTTTGACAAAGTGACACTGTGTCCATCCACAGTGGAATATGGTAAGGGCAGGATATAGATTGTAGGGAAAAAAGTATGAGGTAAAGATGTATTTTCATTAAAGTGGATTTAATTCTAAGTAAGGAGTATTAAACGGGTGCTTGAGCCATAGTCCAAATGCTCTAAATGAGTCTCAATCTAAAAAATAAAAGAAATCCTCATCAAATGGTTAGCCCAAGAGCAACAGGAAGAGATGGTACAATACCTTTAGTCAGCAGCAGCAAGCAATAAATAGATTTTATTCCACAATTACTTTTTTAGCAGGTATGACAGTGGCAAACCTTAATGATGCTAAAATATACAATGAATAAAGAAATCATTTCTAAAGTTTTGCGCAGTGGTGGGCCGTCAGGGCCAGCAAGGCCTACTCTGCTGGCCTAGACAGAATCACAAAGTTATAGCTATTTTATAATTTAATAATTTTTCATAAATACACCATGTATTTTTTTCGCATTATCTTATTTTCTCATTGCACAGCTACTGTCTTCCTCACTTGCTCTGCTTCCAGTGCAGCTTGTTTTAAGTAGAGCTTTTATCCAATCTGATTTCACCTCTGTGTCTCTAGGTAAGAAGAGAGGCCCCAGGCCTGCAGACGCACAAGTGAATCCCCTTGCAGTTTAAGTAAATGGGGACGATATTGTTGATTGTCAGTGTTCAACCAATCAGATCTTTAGTTTGACATGTTGGGCGTATTCTTTGACATGTCAGAGCCTGCTAGCTGACCTAGCCATATGTGATTGGTCAGTGGGCTAGCGTGACATGTTGGGCGGTGACATTCCCAATATCTGCTGCCTCCATTGAGCGGACATTTTCAGCCCTCAAACGCATTAAAACGTGTTCAAGAAATACAACTGGGGAGGCTCAACGGTCTTCACTGGCGTCCATGAATCGAGAAGGACTTCTTACTGGAACTCAAACGCACGGATGTACTGAACAACCGTGAGATTAAACTTGTTAAAGAAAGGAGGATGGACTTTGTCTTTAAATGGTGAACAGCAGCTTTGGTAAGTGAACTGCTTTTGTTTTTACATCTGCAGTAGCTTTAATATGCTTGTTTATATATTATTATTTGTACAACTTGTTTTTTTGAAGATGGATTTTTGTTTGGTTTTATATGTGATAGGAGCTATTGTTGCGTCCAATGTTGCACTGGGGACACATTTAGTCGGTGCCAGTGTTGCCAACTTGGCGACTTTCTCGCTAAATCTGGCGACTTTCCGAACCCTCATGGCGACTTTTTGTCAAAAGCTACTAGCGACAAATCTAGCGACTTTTCTGGTGTTTTGACTCTGACGTGAAAGCATGTACCGTTCTGCAGTTACTGTCGTGAACGAGCAGCGGGTGCTGCCGTGAGCCGCCCCAAAGCACTCGCAGGCGGTTACTGTTACAGTAGCCTCAGCTGCAGTCAGAGAAGAGAGGAGACACATCTCGGCTTATTCATGTATCTGCACTCTGCAGTTAGTGTATTTATAGGTGTTGAGCTTCATTTTTACACGAAACAAATAATAACCGTAGCTGTGGCGTCATGAGCTGTTTCAGCTGCAGGACAGCAGTGGAGGCCCAGGTATAAAACGCACGGCCCGCCACTGGTTTTGCCATAGATTGAGCCCAAATATGTGGTTGCCTGTGCATCGTGAGTGTTAAAGATTATATGTGTGTGTGTATGTATATGTAAATATTCTATACTATTAGTGTGTAAATATTTGGCAACACATATTATAGCTGGTTGGTTCATGTCTTTCTGGTACTGTATGTGTGTATATGCAAAGAATCAAAACCACTCAGATGGGCTTTCATACAAAAGCTTTTATTTGCAAATTGTCCAAGCACCTTCAAGGGTAAGGCTCACTGCTGCTGAATATGATTGGCACATAGAGATCTGTATACATCTGTTAGCGGCACTGTGATCAAGGACTTCAGCTTCTCTACCAACACCAGAAATAAGAACCCAATTAGTGAAAAGCCAAGTCTGACCCAAAGCATAGGTTCCGCATACTGCTGTCAGATCTATACTGAGATATCCACCAATTCCATGTTAATCTTTGCGCATTGCTGTTAATATCTTCTAAATATCATGACAGAAAGGAGGAGAGTCTTGTCAGTTTTCCACAAGAGCATATAGTGCACAATATGTGTCAAAAAATTATAGGTGATTTTCCACAGCTCTGCTGGCTGCTGGCTCTTCAGTTGTATGAGCCTTGATCCCATTGATCGGCTATTAGTTTTCACTCCCACAGAGAGCGAGCAGAATCTTCTCATAGTCTCCTTTAGTGTCATCCTGAAGAAAAGAAAAATGTACTTTTTTTTCACACTGTGCACTATTTCCCATTGCTTGTTTTTTAAACCATCTGTATATCAATGAAGACCTGACCAATTCTGACATCCAAACATAGACTGTAGGATGAGTTTATTGTCATCAGAAGTTTGCTCACCAGAATATCCCTGTAGAGTGTTGTGCCATAGTTTTTCTTGTACTCATCCTTGATCCGTTTCATGTCAATTTCAGAGCGGCTCACCATGATGCGTGTCAGGATATTTTTGCGGGTACCTTTACCCTGATGGGCAAAACACATTCAGTCAGGGAAGGTCTTGTGGCAGCTGGCATATAATCCTGCATGCGTTTATTTTGTGTGTAGTAACCTACTTGTACCGTACCTTCATGGCCAAGTTTAGCTTCTCGGCAAAGAACGCAGGCCGGCTTCCAGCACACTTTACTGTGGTTATTTAAAAAAGTGGGTCAACTTTCAATCAAGTCTGTGCATAAATGAAAGTTTGTGTTGAGGGTTGTGCCTTTACCTACTGCTGTGAGACAACTTTCAATATCTCCCTTCATCTCCAGATCGATAACTTTGGCCATGTCCACTTTGCTGTACTTTGAGTACCTTTCGAACACTGAAGGAGAGGAAGTAGTGGAAGAGTGTTAGATCTGACAGACACAAACATAAAAAAACAGATTTTACTGAACATGATAGCCTGCTGACCTTTACGGAGATGAGGGGCACTCCTGTTGGTGAGGATCTCAATGAAGACGGAGGAATTATTGCCCTTTCTCCCCTCCCCGGCCTCGTACAGAGCCCTGGCATCGCTGTCAACCATCTGATCACAAACTCCTTCAGTCCTGTTGGCCTGTGATGAAGAAAAGCAGAGCAACTTCACAGTGCTGAACACAACAAAGATGTGTAGGAAATGATTTTATTGGTGAAAAACTAATTTAGTCTGTACACAATAGACAGTAAGGTGACCTCAACAATGGCCTCGGCGTTACAGTTCATGTACTTCAGTTTGCTGAGAGACTCTGTAGCTTTCTTTTATCAAAGATCTATTGCAAATGTAGTGCTGTGAAAGTCTGATTTATGATGGGATTGTATAGTATGAAATCAATTGTCATAGGCAGCATCTTTGTAGTATAAAATATGATCTGGATGTTTATTTCAGTCTCAACATTACAACATAATGATCTCCATTTTGAGCATGAAAACTAAACGTAAAGGCAACAGCAATACAAGGTAAAAGTTGTTCAATAAATAGTGTTATATTTTATTGATAATGGAGACAATTAACAGGCTTTAAAATACAGAAGAAAAAGGTTAAATATGAGACCAATTGACCCACCAGGCTGTTTAAAGGAGACAGTTTCCCATCATTTTATCAAAATGTAGCTATTGAGTTTATTTAAAACATAATAGATGTTCAGCGTATTGAGTTTGTGCTGTGCATTTTATTAATTAATTTATTTTTTTAATTATACTACATTCATCCCGGTAAGGGGGAAATTTGTCTCTGCATTTGACCCATCCA